GTATCTAGATCCACATAGTAAAGCCCTAGGATATTTAGGAGGTCTTCAGAGAGTTCATGGAAATGCATAATATGAAAACATTATACCTAAATTTCAAAAAACTTTACACCAAAATGAACTTGTACTTTGACCATTTTTCTGTGAACTTTTTAAAGTCTCCTTGTATGTAGAATTATCTTTAGTCATCAATTTCATTTGTTTATAGGTTTTACACTTATTAAATGTAAGATAAATGTAAGAGATAGGCTTTGTTTTATATTATCATAGCTATTAAAATAATTGGGGAGGCCAGCCAGTGGCTTGATGGTTAAGGCAGTTGGACCCACATAGCCAATTGCACAGTTTGAGTCTCTGTCCTGGCAGCTTGAAAAACACACCGGACACGTGTGCCCAAAATCCCAAAAGGAGATGGAGGAGGAAGGATTACATGACTTTCCCCAATGGAGAGTGCTTTTCCATTTCCCTCTCTTTCTCTCTGCCTTTCATCAGCAAGCACAGGTACCATCTAGCAAATTTAAAAAGAAAAAAATGAATTTGGTACCCATTTTCAAACTATGTGGAGGTGTAGGTACTTAAAAAATAGGTGTATGTTCATTGTATGATGTAAGATTTAGTGGGCTGGGGAAACTTTGCAGAGTGTCTTTGGCAGGTTGTCAAAACAAGTAAAATTGTTGGGAGGATGGCTCATGACTGTTAGAGGATTAGTTCTTTGATCATCTATCCTTAAGAATAGCAAAACTTTGGAAATGCAATTTTTTTCTTAATTTTTTGATGGTGTGAATTAAGACCGTGAATCCAATTTCTCTCTTGAAGAAAGTATTTTAGTTGATAGGAAAGTGAGAGTTGAGGGTTTTCACAAGTGTGTAAGTATGTATAACTTTGGAGAATTTTTCTAATGTTGGACATACAAGTCTGTTCTCAATTTTTGCTATTATAAAAACCATGTGATGAATATAAACCGAATTTTTGCATTTCCTAACTATTTTCTAAGAATAAATGTTCAGAAATGGTGTTTTGTTCAGAAGACAAACTTTTTTTAAAGGTTCTTGTTATGTGTTTTAAAATGCTTTCCAGGAAAAGTATACCAATTTGCTCTCATTAATATGGCTATGTTTTTGAGTACCAACTGTATATTAATAAACATACTGATAAAGCCCTACCCACATCAAATTTTAATTTTGCATTCTAATGGAAAAGGGGATAGTAAAAAAATACATAACATCAGGGCCAGCAGATGACATAATGGTTACATCGCTGACTTCCATGTAGTCCACCCTAGTTTGAGTCTTGGAGGACCCAGTGGTGTGGTGGTTAAGGGTGCTGGACTTTCATATGGCTGACCGCGGTTTTAATCCTGGACCTGGGAGGTTGCTTTCTCACTCCCCCCTACCCCAGACCCAGCAACTAAAAACTCACATCAGGCACATGTGTGTTCGTGTCCAAATTCCCCAGAGAAGAATGGAGGAGAAGGGATTGCAGTGCAGCCATCCCGCCCCAGGTGGGGGATGATTTCTCGTTTTCTGTCTCCAGCAAATGCACAAACCCTATAGCAAAAATCTCTCTTAAAAATGTTACTAGTTTATATGGAAAATATCTTTTAAGTTTTTATTTTTGTTTTAGTTTGACTATTAGTAGGTAGATTTTTTTTTTAACTCTTAGTTGCTGTTTAAAATTTTTAATACAGGACTACCCTTTTATTATTAATAATTGATTATTGGACTTTAATACATTGAACTATGATACATGTATATAACAAAAAGGCTCAGTATTTAAGTTTGGTTCTCTAGAGAGGGCAATGCAAAATTTAGTTTGAAAATAAGTAACTTTCATCATTTTGGCTCTCAGTAATAGTTTTTGCTGAGATTTTGCAAAGGTTGACTTAAATAACTGAGGTAGCAGATTATACTGATGGATAATGAGCATGAGTTATTGGGCTGATGGTGATAAGTGTAATTGTTTAGAGCATAGTGTTGATAGCCAGATTGCTGACTAGCTTTTGAAAGGACCTATTTACTTACCCTTTCTTAATATACTTTTGCCTTTGGACGTATGAATAACTTAGAGGATTCCCTCTACCTCTAGGAAAATTGCCTTCAAGCATATGTAAGTAACATTTACTATAGAATAATTTATACTAATTAAAAAAAAAAAAAAAACCCTCTTGGGCCAAGTGGTGGTGCTGTGTTTGAAGTGGGTGGATCCCACATGGCTGACTGTGAAGTTTGAGTCTCGTACTTTATGGCTTGAAAAATACATTGGGCATATGTGTGTATGTGGCCAAAATCCCAAAAGGAGAAATGGTAAAGGGATTGTAGCATGACCATCCTCCATAGGTCATGATTTCTCATTCTCCCTTCCCCTCCGTCTCTCTCCAGCAAGCACATGCACCTTCTAGCATATTAAACCAAACCAAAACAACAAAGCAAAACTCTGAACGTTTGGAAATTAATATTAATTACTGGAGGGCTGTCCCCATAGCCTAGTGGTTAAGGGAAGTTGGTAGTCTAATTGCAGTTTGAGTCCTGGCCCTGACCCTGATCCTGACAGCTTGAAAACATAATAGACATATGTATGTACATGCCCCAAATCCCATCGCATGGAGAAATGAGGAGAAGGGGTTGTGGAGACTGTGTACTTCCTCTCCCTCCCTCCTTTCTCTCTCTCTCTCTCTGTTTCTGCTTCTCTGTCTCTAGTCAATGCACATGCCTTCTAGCAACTAAAAAAATAAAAAAAGACCAAAACTATAAAGAGCTGACAAAATCAAAATCAAAATATATGTACTTGATTTGATAGTTTCCTTTGCATTCTTATAATTTTTAAGTAGAGGAAGACAAAAGAACTTTCTTAGGAAATGGACTTTTCCAGGCTTGTAATATTTATTATGTGATTATTCAGTCTAGTGGCTTATTTGCTACAGAGAGATAATTACTATACTAATGATGCATAAAAATTATCTCTTAGGCTAAGCAAAATCTTACATGTAGGTTTTTTCCTCAAACTTGTCTATAAATGTGGCAATCTAATACTTTATTTCTTGAGTCAAAATAGTATAATCCAATTTCTAATCATCAATCTTATTACTTTTGTTTTAAACTTAGAATTTATTAACTTATTTCTTACTTCCACAAGTGAGAGAGATAGACAAAGAGAGAGAGATAGTGCCCTCAACAGGATCTTGATGCCATTATCCACCTCCACCCTCGGCCTATCCTGGTCATGGGCACATGCGTACCTGGCATACTCAGGGAGGTCTCTAGACACAAATCCAGATGGTTCAGCCTCTCAGAGAGTCACATTATCTCTGTACCACTGTCCAACCCGTTAAACTTAGAATTAAAAGTAGGACAAGAGGAGCCAGCAGGTGGTATGGTGGTAAGGCTGGATTCCCACATGACTGGTTCGAGTCTCAGACCCAGCAGCTTGAAAATCACACTGAGGCACATCTGAGTGCATGCTCAAAATCCCAGGTGGATAAAGGAGAAGGCAACATGACCATCCCCACAGTGGGTGATTTCTCACTTTACCTCTGTCTGTCTGCAGTGAGCCCATGTGCCCAGTAGGGGGTGGAAGGAAGGAGGAGGACAGGAAATAATTTATCAAAAGTAGGCTGCTTTAGTCCATTTTCTGTTGCCATAATAGAATACATGAGATTGGGTAATTTATAAAGAAAAAAGGTTTCTATCAACTCATAACTCTAGGAACTAGGAAGTTCAAGATTGGTGGCTGCATCTTGCAAGGGCCTCATGCTGTGTCATACCTAACAGGACAGATGGCATCACATGGCAGGTGTGCATGGGTGCACACATGTGCAGGAGACGGGAGGTGCCAGGCTTGTTTTGTAACCATCCATTATGAAAATAACTCCTCACTCTCTCTTTTCTTTTGAGAAGTTTTTGTTTGTTTGTTTTGTTTTGTTTTTTGTTTTGTTTTGCTATAGAGAGCATGCGCTTGCTAGAAAGACAGAGACAGAAAGCAAGAAATCACCCCCTAGGGGGCATGGCCACACCAAAATCCCTACTCCTCCATTCTCCACTTGGGATCTTGGGCATGCATGCACATGCGCCCGGCATAGGTTTAAGCCACTGGGTCCAGGACTTGAACCGTGATAGACTACATGGGAGTCCAGTGACATAGCCATTACGCAACTGCTGGTCCCAAAGGTAACTCACTCTCTTGAGATCTAACTCCCAGGAGACCAAATCATCTCTCAAAGACCACACCTCCGAACACTGTCATACTGAGAATCAAATTTCAATATGCATTTCATAGGAGATAAGTCATATCTAAACCATAGCATAGGTCAATAAATAATTTCCAGAAAATAAATGTAATTTATTAACAGCTCTATTTGTTCTATTCATTTATGTATATAACAGATATTCGAATGTTTCCAAGGAGCTCACTAACCCCTTAAAGACGATGAATGTGGTGGAGTGTAGCATGGCAGTTACTGGGGGTTATAGCCAGGTAGTAGATAGAGAATGTTTTCATGCAACCTGTAGACAGGTTAGTAATTGCTACCATAGGAGCTGAAGCCAGAAGTGTAAGTGGCACCAGATTCATTTGTAAAGGTGAGGATCACAAATGGCTTCTAAAGGACATGATATTTTTTGCTATGCAGTCTTTGGTCTTGAGAGGGCATACATGTGTGTCTGCACATACACAAAAGACTTTTTTTATTGTAAAATATATATAAGACATAAAATATACTATTTTAGCCATTTCTAAGTGTACATTTCACTAGTGTTAAGTATATTCAAATTGTCGTACAACCAATCTTCAGAACATTTCCATCTTACAAAACTAAAACTTTACACTCTTTAAAATAACTCATGTCCCACTACTTCCTCTTTCCTCAGTTCCTGGACCCACCATTCTGCTTTCCATCTCCCATGAATTTGTCTACTCTAGATAACTTAAGTAAATGTACAAAATATTTTTTTATTCTTAGGGTTTTGTTGTGGTCATTGTTTTGAACATTACCTGATTTCTGTTACCAGTTCCATTTCCTTCATCATGCTTTTCTGGACAAATGGGAGAAGACACTAAAGTCCAGGGGACGGATACATGGCAGTGTTCTTGCCAATGGAAGCATGAAGCCACCACAGAGCCTTAGGGAAATCCTGTTCTCTCCAGCCATCTAGAAAAGTTTTAGACACTATGGAGCCATCTTAGGAGAAGCAGTCATGTTTGGAAAGGCAAAAACCACTCAAAAAAAAAAAAAAAAAAAAGGGAAGGA